TTGTGTCTTCCTCAATTTCTTTCATGAGTATTTTATAGTTTTCTGAGTACAGATCCTTTGTCTCTTTGGTTAGATTTATTTCTAGGTATCTTATGGTTTTGGGTGCAATTGTAAATGGGATCGACTCCTTAATTTCTCTTTCTTCTGTCTTGTTGGTGTATAGGAATGCCTATATTTTAGAACTTCTTAATGGCATAATTTTATATCAAGAGATTCTTTAGTGATCACATTTTATATAGTTTGTTGAAATACGTTTTCCTTCAAAAAGTTGGCTTAATACTCCTGTAAACTTGTGGGAATTTTGAAACTGGTAAGCAGGCAGTATTGCATCTCTAATTTCTACCTAGAAGAGTAGGCTTTAGAAGTCCTTTGGTTTTTCTTCTTGTCTCCAGGCCAACAATGTATTAAGCCTCCTAGCTTGTTTGGTAATTCAGGTTGCTTGACTTCTTTTTCTTAAGTACTCTGGTGACTCACAAGCCTTAAATAAGCCCAGAAGTTAATGTTCAACTTAAATTTCCTCTCCTCTATATTAGTTTTCAAATGCTGCATAACAAATCAGACCAGAACTTAAGGGCTTAAACAATAATAATCATTTATTATTTCTCATGGCTTCTGTGTATCTGGAATTCAGGAGCTTGGCTGGGTGGTTTGGCTTGAGCTCTCTCATGAGGTTATAGTAAGCAGGGGCTGCAGGCACCTGAAGGCTTGACTTGGGCTGGAGGATACCCTTTTAAGATGGTTCACTTACATGGACTCATCTAAATTAAATATATAACTTCAGTTTGTCTTGTCTGTATTCTGCATTCAGTTTATTGAACCCAATAAATAATTATGACACTTGAATGCTTAATAATTAAAATGGGATAGAAGGCATGTGGTAGCTAGCCTCCAAGGTAGCTGCCTAGCATTCACACCTTTATGTGGTTCTCTCCCTGCTTCTGTATTCAATCAGGGCTGGCCTGTGTGACCAGTGGAATATGGTATGACAGTGTGTGGATTCCAAGGCCAGGTCATAAATGGTATTACAGCTTCTGTATTAGTCTCTTGGATTGTTCATTCTGGGGTAAGTCAGCCGGCATGATGTGAGGATACTCAAGCAGCCCTTTGGAGAGGCTTTCATGGGGAAGAATTGAGGCATCTTGCAAATAGCTCACACCAGTTTGCCAGCCTGTGAGTGAGCCACATTGAAAGTGAATCCTTCAGGCCAAGTCAAGCCTTCAGGTGCTGACAGCCCTGGCTGAGATCTGACTCTAATCTCCTGAGAGATTGTTCTCTCTTGGGTGTTGTAGACCTGTATTTGACCCTAGCAGGTATTGTTTTATCAAATGACTGTTGATACCCTCTATATACTTAGCATCGTGTAAAAGTGTTGCAGTGAATATAAAAATTAAAAAACTTAGGCAGGGCCTAGTCTTAATTTCAGTGTTGATTCTCACAGATAAAGAAATTGATATATCACAACTTTGTAAAAGCCTTTTTTTCTGCTCTTCACGCTTATAAGTTAATGTATAGTTATTAAGAGTTTGTTTTGCCAAGTCTCCTCTCAACCTTTCCTTCAAGATCAAAGCATCATGTAAATGATGATGATTGAACTTTCTGGACACCTTTGGGTGTTAGATGCTATGTTCTCTCATCTTCCTATATCAGCTATAGGCAATGTTAACACTTTGTAATTTGCAGTTTAAAAAAAAATTGTCTTCTATGTCAAGCTCTTAACTTCCTGAAGGAAGTTCACCCATATATATTTTTTGAATAAACGAAGGATTGGATTGGATTAGCTTTATGATTTCTCTTTATGACTTAGAATGTCTTAAATGATATTTAAAAGGGATTTATGGTTTACTTTCACATATAGTGTGATTCCTTAGAATAACCTTTTGAGATTAGTGGTTTTATCACCCTTTTAGAGATGAGAAAGCTGATGCTAAAGTGACTTGCCCACAGTTTATAGTTAAATCATTTAAATGTAGGGTGGAAATACCACTATACCGTTAGATAATTTTGTAGGGTAATCAGTCGGTGGCAAATGTGCTGTTATTTTTAGTTTCACTGTGATGTGGAAACTTCAGTAGTGTGTATGATGGCATTGAAGCTGGATGTAAAACCACTATTTCTATTTGGTCTTTTTGTCTTACTGAAAGTACAGAAAATTTTGTTGCAAAAAAAATGAAGTATAGAACAGAAATTTATAAAGTTTCATGTCTGGTTTTTGTAGTTTAGTGATACCTTTTGAATTAAGTTTTTTCTTTTTTCCTTTTTCTTCCCTTTACACACTACAAATCTCTTATGAAAGGTCTGAGGGTCATTTATGTCTTCCTGTTCGATACACACATTCCTTCCCAGAAGCCTTACAGAAGTTCTATCGTGGTGAGTTCAGGTAGGAATTTCTTACAATTGTTTTATAAATATCTTTATGTGCCATTAGAAATGCTATTGGACAGACCAAGTTAGATAATATTTGGCTTAGTGTATAGTTATGTATTACTCTTTATGGCTACTGTTATTAGCTGAGTCATCCACACCTCTACCTTTCTTCTAGTCCAACAGGAACTGTGTAGAAAAACCCTGACAAAAGCCACTTGGCCTGTAACCCAACTGCAAGTAGAGGGGTTTTCTCCATCAGTGAACTAGAGGCCATGTTTCTATTTTCTTAATGTTGTTACACGTTCTTAGCAGTTTGGTAGAAAGCTAGTTAAAACTATTGGCTAAAAGTAAGTGTTCAAATTCACTGAGATTTTATATTTTTATCCTCCTCTCCCATCCAGAATGGCTGAGGGTTGGATTTACTCCACCATTCTGAGGTTCCTGGTATCTTTTATTTTACATATTAAGTGTTTCTTAAGTAGGGGGATGTTTTGTCATACTTCTTTCACTTAATTTGTTCAGTAGTCAGGCTATCCTGAAAAGAGAAGAGTGGAGGGAGGAGCTGAGATGGGGTTGGTGATTATAGTAGAGAGAGCCAAGTTGGATGACTTTTTATTTCCTGACTTGGACTAGATTTTTATTGTTTGAGAAAGCTTTGTTTTTTTGTGAAATTGTATTAAATCTTGATTTCTGGAATCATTAGTAATGATTCTAGTTTCTGGTTGTTTCAGAAGTTTGGCACCTCTACAAATGTCCACTTTTATAGCTATCAAGTGGGAGTATATTTTTATATACTAATCTAGCAGAATCTGTCCCACTGGCTTTTTGACACATCAGTTTTTGGTTTTGAAATCAATTATACCTAATTTTTTTCCTTCTATCAAAAACGTCATTTAAGTTTTTTTTTTTTTTAAAGATTTT